AAAAGGGGAAAAGTTCAATGCTTTAATAGTGATTTGACTCAAAAGGTCACATATTAAATTCGATAACATTCATGTCAATAGTTCGATCTAGAATTCTCAATGCTCAATGAGAAATATATAATATATATATACCATATTACCACCTAAGTACCTAAATAGAGCACTCAATCTCTAATAATCCAAATCAACTGATCAGTGATGAATATAATTATTCTCCACAAAAACATAAGAAACTCAATAAATGTGAATTTTGGCTGCAACATGTAAAACCATGCACATTTCAATTAAGATAGACAAACTGAGAGGGTAGCAATGACGGAAAACAACATGAACATATTGTAACATACAAATACTGCAAGCTTTTCAAATTCCCAAGATCCGGCACCAACGTTCCACTTAAACCAGAGTTTCCGAGATTACTGACAACCAAAAACAATAGAAAATAGATGCAGTTAACACTTGAGTCAACTCAAGTAATTGATGCAGTTAACAGGAAATATGAAAACGGGAAGATAAATATATATATTAAGTCGTGTGCTTACATCCTTATAACAGCATAATTATTGTTGCAATCAATATGAAACCATGTACAAGGGTTGACAAGTGAAGGGTCCCAGCTCAACATTACACCATTCGGATCCTTTAAGCTTTGCTTAAGTTTATGTAAAGAGTCAACTATCAAATAAAACCACTGGAATTTCAGACAACAATTATTCTTACCAAATATTATTCAATCGCACATTTATGCTAAAAAAAAGTACTACACTTCTTTTGAGCTTTTATGTAACGCCCCGTTTATTTGTGGATTATTTAATAATTTTTATTATTGTTATTGTGATATTATATTATTATTATTATTATTGTTATTATTATTATTATTATTGAATGAATAAATATTATTGTTTGCCTAATTGTAATTAAATGCCTAAATGTCTATTAAATGTCTAAATGTTATTATTATAAATTATTAATTATGTGTATTTTAAATATATATATATATATATATTTGAAGTTGATGTAATTGCTTATTATTATTATTTTATAAAAACAAATTTTTTTGAATACAAATTAATTATTATATAACTAAATATATACATATGTTACATGCCAACTTATGTGTTTTCCGGGAACAATCTAATACATTATAGCATAAAAGGATTACATACCTTCAGTATTACTATGGACACCTTTAAAAGGGTTCACAATGAAGATCAACCATAACGCTACTCCAATTTTGTCCATCACTCTCCAACTTACAGAAAATACAAATGATATAAAAAGGATAAGTTGTTGTTGCGGAGTTTTCTGTATTTTCTCACCCCATTTATAGACCCAAATCGATCACCCTATGGGGTAGGATAGAATTTATCCACCCTATGACACATTTGGTAAATCGATCACCCTATGTACACTTTATAGATTATTATTTTATGTATTATATTATTGTACCACTTGTGAAATTATGAAACTTCACAACTTTATAAATTATTATTATATGCATCAAATCACTATTACACTTTATAAATTATTATTTTATGTATTATATTATTCTATCAGGTTTGACATTATGAAATTTACAGCTTTATATATTATTAATTTATACATCACATTACTATAACACTTTATAAATTATTAGTTTATGTATTACATTATTATACCACTTTTGACATTATGAAACTTTACAGCTTTATAAATTATTAATTTATGCATCACATTTTTATAGATTATTATTTTATGTATTACATTATTATACCACTTTTGACATTATGAAACTTTACAGCTTTATAAATTATTAATTTATGCATCACATTACTATAACACTTTATAAATTATTATTTTATTTATTATATTATTATACCACTTTTGACATTATGAAACTTTACAGCCTTGTAAATTATTAATTTATGCATCACATTACTCTAACACTTTATAAATTATTATCTTATGTATTATATTATTGTAACACGTTTGACCTTATGATACTTTACAAATGTAGCGCCCAAATCAAATAATAGAGATATCTCGTTTATTTTATTTTATTTATGTAGTTAGTTGTATTTTATTTAATTATTAATAAAGATAATTTATTTAGACTTAGTCTATTTAAATTACTTAGAGAGAAACCAAATTTAATAGAATTTTTGGTTTATCGATTGACGTTCATTTTAGGTCCAAATATTTTTTTCGACTTCGTTAATTTTATTTGTTCTCGACCCATTAGTATTGTTCGAGACTAACTTTAGCCTTATTTTTTTTTTCTGCCCTCAATAAGCTATTATTTTCGGCCTAATGATCNGGTTTGTTTATTTGTGCGATTAAATTTAATTATCGAGCCCGAGGAATCTGTATTACGTCTACGTAGTCAGGCCCGAGAGCTGATACGTTTTAATTACCCGAACCCGCGAGCCCGATAAACCGTTGGCCCAACCTGCGACCCAGACCGCACGCCCAGCCCGAGTCTTTGTAACTCACGGGCATAATCCGGCCCATATGATTGTGTAAAGTTCCAATTTATTTGATCCAAAAATCAAATAAGTCCTTGGCAAGACAAGTCAAACCTAATATCAATATGTATATATGTATCTATCGTTTTTTTTTTCTCTGTGGATAGCAATACGCAGCCTTTATTTTTCTCTGTTCCCGATCTCGTCAAAATCTGTTCACCCTCTCTTCTTCTCTCGCATCGATCGCCGACCTCATGTCTTCTGCGAATTTTCCGTCATCCTCCTCTCACCTCCCTCGCCACAACATCTCGACATCATCACCCTTCCGTCCCTGCTCTGCTCGTGAGACGACGCCGTCGCCATCGCCACCATCATCGCCGACGCTCTGCCGCCAGCGAAACTAACACCGGCGACCTCCAACAGCCTCACCGTGGACCAGACCAGTCGTCATCACCATCATCGCGGCCCTGCTCGCGAGCCTCCTCCGCAATAGCAACACCACAGACGAGTCCTCCTTCCCCTCCGCCGCGCGCAGGCCATCCCTCCGGCGAGTCCTCCACGACCGGCGCCTGCAAGCCCTCCATCGCCGCAGCTCTCTGCTTGCAAGCCGACGAGACTTCCCCTCCGGCGACCCTGCTGCCCCTCTGCCGACGACCAACGAGGCCCTGCGGCCGCGTCAAGCCCTGAGCCCGTGCCACCGCCTTGTGCCGCCGCGAGCTGCTCCTCGTCTCAAGCATCGAGCGCCGCAGCAACCGAGCAGTTGAGAATAGCCGCTGCTGCACCTTCTTTCCCGGCGAGACGCGAGAATCCGTCGAGCCCTTCATCCCCGTTCGTCTTTTTCGTTTCCGTT